ACCAGGTTCACATGCCTAAAAAGTAATATGGCATTCAAGATGAAGATCAGAAAATAGGTCAGAGAAGAAACTAGCTATACAGACATAATGCTGGATACGTGAGATGTCTCTTGGAGGAGTGGGAGTTGAAATGGGGCACTGGTACAAGCAAGATATGGAGATAGGATCCAGGAGTCATTTTTATGAAGGTGAACAAGCTATAGAAATGAATGAAGATGAGCAAATTCTATAAATAAGGGAGCACCAAAAGAGAATTCATTCAACTACTATGTACTAACTTGCTATCTTATGGGCTCTTTAGGTATGAAGAAAAACAAGACAAAGCGCCTACCCTCAAAAAGCTCACAGTTCACATGGAGAGACAAACATGTGAACAATTAAATAGAATATTACAAGGCTATTAGCACTATGGGTGCCTCAAAGGAGGGATTAGTTCTTCCTAAAAATGGGGATAGAAAAGGTCATGGGATGGAGAATCACAGATTGCATCACTAAGGATCAGAATTGACTCTTCCCCCCCAGCTTTGTTAAGGCATAATTGAAATATAAAATTGTAAGATAGGATTGACTTTTGAGAAGTTACCATAGCTGGAGGCAAGATCAAGAAGAGGAGCTGGGTGTCTTAGTCCATTTAGGCTTCTATAACAAAAATACCATAAACCAGGTACCTTATAAACAACAAACATTTCTTTCTTACAGTTCTGGAGGCTGGGAAATCCAAGATCCTAGTGCCAGCAGATTCAGTGTCTGCTGAAAGCCCGCTTCCTAGACTAGACAGCTGTCTTTTCGCTGTAACCTCACATGGTGCAGGGGGCAAGGGAGTTGTTTAGGTCCTCTTCTCTAAAGGCCTAATCCCCATTCATAAGGGCTCTGCCCTTGTGACCTAAGCACCTCCCAAAGGCTTCACCTCCTAATACTAGCACATGGGCATTAGGTTTCAACATATGAATTTGGGGGGGACACAAACATACGCAGACCATAGCAGCTGGTGAAAGAGTTAGAAAAGCAGTTTGTAAGAAAGTAAAGGAACCATAATGACATAAAAGTACCAATATAAGGAGTTTCAAGAAGACAGCAAGTGCAAATATATCAAAAGCTACAAAAAGTTTGAAGATAAGGACTGAAAGATGAATAAAGGAGAGAGGTTTATTTCATACTAGGGGTCTCCAGAAGTGCCTCTGTCTTATCTAGGGATCTTTGAAGTGAGATTCAGGAATCCTTCTCTAATCACCAGGACCACATGCCTGGAAAGTAATGTCATATTCAAGATCAAGACTCAGAAAATGTAGAATTAGAGTAGAAACAACAAAAATGGCACCTGGCCTTTTCCCAAATTAACTGCAGTGCCTAAAGATAATGGACTTCTCACAGTGCATAGTATTCACAGTCCTCGGAACAAACACAGATCTCCTTCTTTGCACAACCCTATACACACCTACTGGATCTACCAGAGAGAAGAGTGAGAGTTACCCCCTGTGCTTTTGCTTATTGCTCATACATTAAAAAGATCTCAAAACTTTAAAATTTGTGAGACAAATGTAAAACAGTTATCTCAAAACCATGGTTGAGAATGTCAGCTGTCAAGGAATTACTGAATCGCTCCTTTCTTTGCCTTCCCCTCCATAAGAAAAAACTAGCTTTCAGAGCATGACAAGGAAGAAAAAGTCATAGGAACAACGAATAAATGTGTTTGGTTTTTTTTTTTTAACATTTTCTTTCTATAAAACTTTTCCAGAAAGTCACAGAGTAGTAGAAGGTTCAGGGGCTTTTAGATAAACTAGAAAAAAAGACATTCCAAATCACTAATATGAAACCAACAGTGGTATTTAAACCTAGGAAACATAAAACAGATCAGAAGGAAAAATGGCATGGAGTCCAGTTACAACATCTGTATTGCAAACCTACAGAACAGGGGAAATCTAAATATAAAACTAAACAGATTAGTGTACTAATTTAAAGACAGAGGGAGGTTAATGATAAACAAATAAGAACGTTTACTAAGAGACTATAGCCCACCTTACAGGTGAATTGTAATTTGGATGTAAAAAGTAATAGTTATATAAGCAGAGGACCTGATTCAAACCATTCTTAATATTTCCTTGCTCCACAGTGTCATCCCATAGCTTTCCTTTTGAGAGAAGGAGAACAATTTTTCCCTCTGGAAATAGCCAATATGTCTTTTCAACAGAATTCCTCAGTTGAATGGAAATTTCCCGCCTCAATTACACAGAAAATTGTTAGATTCTCTAAAGAGCTTTTTTTTTTTAGAGTTTTTAGTTGTGCCTTTATTCACCTTAGTTCATTAAAAATGTACTTGTTTTAAAGATCCTATAAATAGAGTAATCACCCACTAATGTGGGATGTAAGTCACCCCTCTCAGCATGGTATTTTTGTTTTTTAAAAAAGCAGAATTTCTTACAGGAATCGTATTGATCAAACAGTATTTACAAGAACGTCAGATATAATGATGTACACAATCTAAACAAGAAGGGCTGATTTAGAATTTACATAATGTAAAAATATACATATTAAAAGTGAGCCATGTGGACAGATGCGGGCTGCAGGAAGAGTAGTTGACGGGAGGTTGGGGGTTGAGGGCCCATATGCAGTAATATTGCTTTCCCCTCCATTACAGAAAATAACCTTCACCAACAGATACAGGCATTCCACACATCTAAATACACAAGGGTAAATCGTAGACAAGGGTAAATCGTGACCTGCTACATTACAGTCTAAGTGGTCTGTGATACCCCTGCGAAAATAGTAAATATGAACCCCATGCAGGTAGTAGGAAGCATTGGTCATTTATTCTAGCTGGACTCCGGACATGAATATCTGGAAGAGCGTATGGCTCCTTCTGCTACGTTTTCTTTACAACTGACGTGCACTTAGTGGGGAATTGTGATGGTTGTTCGACCTAACAGTGATAACTGAAATACTCTTAAAAATGTGGTAACTTTTTAATAACATATTTTAATCACACACTTAACATAAAACATGGATCATCTACAACTTTAAGCCAAAAGGGAGAGGAAGTGCATCTGAATGTTAATGCTTTCAGTTTTGGTATTCTATAATTTCTACCACTGTCCTAAAGCATGAAACTGATACAACTGCTTGTTTATTTACCCAAGCAGGCACTAGTATGGGCTCTTAAAGAACACCCAAAACAGAAGAAAGGTCACTCTTTTTTTCTCTGGGCCTTTTGAGAAACTAGACCAAAATTATAAATTATTCAGGGTTCCTACTGAGCAGCGGTGCTTTTCTGCGTGTAACCATCTAGAGAACAAATCAAAGAAGAAGTTACTAACACTGCAAGAGCGTTGATGTGCGGTATACTTATTAGGAATCAGGAACCTCAGGCAGCAGTTCAGAGTTTTCTCAGACACCCCCATTTACCCCGCTTTTTGCCAACTATTATGGCAAATGCATTTTGTGGGGGCTACGCTTGACAACTTATGCTCGAAGATCCTCTTGCGGAGATTTCTCTAGTTGAGTAGAAACCCTTCTATAAAAAGTTGGCAGGTTCTGGGAACCTAGAGAGGAGACAATGTCTCCAAATGCTCAAATTGCAAGTTCTTATTGGGGAAAGAGTATTAAAATAACTTCAAAGACTATTTTATTGGCAACTCAGAATGCAGTGTTTTACTTTTCAACTTCTAAATTTGAAAACAAGACAGCCTAGGTCAAATAATAACAGTTTTCCAAAGCTGAATGTGCTCTTTTGGAGCTCAGTTTTTCTGCTTGAAGTACAAAAACAACTTCCTAAAACTCCTAGGCAGGAACACTACTGTTCTGTTGATCTGTGATTAGATGAACTGATCAATCTCAGTTGGTAACATCTCTTTGTTTTTCCTTGGTAAGGGTTTAAAAAATTCTAGAACAGGAGCATTTTTCCAGTCTTACACTGACAATTTCATCCCAAGTGTCTCCTGAGAGGCATATACCACATACAGGAATCCATCCTCATCCTTCTCACTTTCATACATTTCAGAAATCGGTGTGGAAATGCTCACCATGCTGTGTCCATTCACTAAGAGGAAGAAGGCTTGATTAGCACCGAGCTGTAAGCGCCGTCTAATTATCTTGATGAGTTCACTCACATTGACGTGATCAGGTACAAGGAACTTGGTTTTATCCAAGACAGGAAGCTGCTTCTCACCCTTATATCGTTCTGTTATCACCAGGATTTTGGTAGGATGCTGCTATCGAATAAGTCAGACATCTTCTACTCTGTTGGAAGGCGTGGCGCTGCTTGAAGGTCTTCTCCCAGGGCATGGTGCAGGAGGCTGGGCAGGGGCGGTGGCAGCGGCGGGGGGTCCTGGCTGCTGCAGGCCTCCGACTGTGGCGACAGAGACTTCCCTTGTTCTAAATAGCTTTTAAAGCTTCCATATAGTCTTTGTGAGTGACCCATACCCAAGTGCTCTATGGAAGCAGCACGCGGAACTCACGTGGGACTGCACTTGAGGGGGCAGAGGCAAGGCCAGAGAGTCTGGACATAAGAATGCTGAATAGGGTAAAACAAGAGTGATTTAATTTCATACTTAAACATTTGTATAAAACCCCACATCTATTTTCTTAACTTCAACTGGCATGAATGAATTTGCCTTTACAAATCTTAGAAGAAAATGTGGCCTTTTATAAAATATATGTTCAGTAGAAGGTACGACCTTGACTTCTTTTCTGACCATGACTTAGACTACAGTTTTGGAACTTTTCGCTTGACCTGAAAGGAAGCAGATTTTAAAATTACATTTAATTAGCTTGCAATATAAAACAAAAATGAAGCCAGTTTTTAAAAACAATGGGTGTGAAATAAATCAGAATGTCTTAGCCTGAACCAATCATTAACTAAACCTTGGTGCTGGTACATCAGTCAGTTCAAGTCTTCTCCCCTCTCCCTTTTTTTTTTTTTCTAATATTTAAAGCTTTGAGGTCACGTTTCCCATATAATCAGTATTATTGTTCCTAATTCTGCCACTGAATAGAGTAACTTTGAATCAACTGCTTAACCTCTCGTCTTCACTTTCTTCATTGTAAAATGAAGAGGTCATTTCAGAGGTTCCATCAAGATCTAACACTTCTGTAATACGAAGGTGCAAGATACAGGGGTGCCTGGAGGGGCTATAAGGGACTTGGGGAGAGAGGCAGTTCTTCCTCAGAGGTGAGAAGGAAAGGAAGGATGTTATTGGGCCAGGCTAACAGTAGTGGTGGAGCAGGGGGAGAAGGTGGGAATCATACTGTATAACCACATAACTCAGGTCTCAATCATCTCATTCCTGGACTATACTGGTGTCTCACTCCTTCTAGTCTCTTCTCTCTCTAATCCATTTCACAAGGAAAGCCCGATTATTCTCCCCTACTTAATCCCTCTTCTCTCCTACCCCAAAGCCTTTAATGCAAACTACTGCCCTGAAAATAAAGCCTAAACTTCTAAGCTTATACAATTCAGTACTTTTAATGAAATGACCACAAGTTAACTTTCTAACCTTATTTTCTACTGTTCCTTAACAGACTCAACTACAACCAGCCAGATGGATACTGACCACTTCCTTATTCCCACATTTGAACCTTTCGTCATCATATTGTGCTTTCATTCCAGAATTCCCTTCATATTCCACCCTGGCTATCCATCCTTTCAGGCAATTCATCTTTCTTCATGATGCTTTCTCTTTATACTTAGGCTTCTCTGAACACACACAGCACTTAGTTTATCTTTTCAAGTATGCGTATTTACTCACAAACTGGTGGCGGACTCCTTAAAGACAAGAACGGTGTAAAGTATCTATCTCCCTTGAAAGGACCTAAAAGAGTACTATGTGTATGCTCAGTAGACATTAGGTACAGATGGCCAGGGATATTCTGCCATACTACCTAGACTAGATTAAGTGTCTTAACCTTTAAAAAACCACAGCCCATTTTGACAAACACAAACATCTTAGGTACTAGATATCCACATTCAAAAGAATGAAGTTGGACCCCTACCTCATATCATATACAAAAAATAACTCGAAATGGATCATAGAACTAAATGTAAGAGCTAAAACTACAAAACTCTTACAAAAGAACATAAAAGTAAACCTTGGTGACCTTGGATTAGACAATGTTTCTTAGATATGACACTGAAAGCACAAGCAACAAAAGGAAAAACAGATAAATTTGACTTTATCAAACTTTAAGCCTTTTGTGCTTCAAAGGACACAATTAAGAAAATGAAAAGATAATCTACAGAATGGGAGAAAATATTTGCAAATCATATATGTGATAAGGAACTTGTATCCAAAATACATAAAGAACTCTTAGCCCAAATTAAAAACGGACCAAGGATTCAAATAGACATTACCCCAAAGAAAAGAAAATATACAAATGGCCAGTCAGCACATGAAAAGATGATTAACATCATTAGTACTTAAGGAATTGCAAATCAGAACTACATTAGGATACCACTTCACACTCACTAGGATGGCTAACGTAAAATTTAAAAAAGACAATAACAAATGTTGATAATGACGTAGAGAAATTGGAATCCTCATATATACTGCTTGTGGGAATAGAAAATTGCAAACAGTTTGGAAGTTCCTCAAAAGGTTAGACATAGAGGTACCATATGACCCATCAATTCTACTCCTGAGTATATACCCAAGAGAAATGAAAACATGTGGCCACACAAAAGTTTGTACAAGAAAGTTCATAGTGGCATTGTCTATAATAGTCAAAAGAGTGGAAATTCAAATGTCCATCCATTAACGAATGGATAAATTTGAATCCATACAAGGAAATATTATTCACCCATAAAAAAGAATACTGATATATGTTACAACATGATGAACCTTGAAAACATTACACTAAATGAAAGAAGCCAGACACAAAAGGCCACAGACTGTACGATTTTATTTATGAAATGTGCAGAACAGGCAAATCCATAGAGATAGAGAGTAGATTAGTGGTTGCCAGGGGCTTGTGGGAGGGAGGAATGGGAAGTGACTGCTACTGGGTATGGGGTTTCCTTTTGGGGTGGTAAAATGTTCTAAAATTAGATAGTGGTGATGATTATGCAACTCTGTGAATATACTGAAAACCACTAAATGATACATTTTCAAATAGTGAATTTTATGGTATGAGAATTATATCCCAAAAAAGCTGATATTTTTAGAAATCTTAGGTACACCTGCCACAAAGATTCTGATAGTGCACCTTCCCCATTCACAGAACAGTATTCCCACAATAGGTTTTTCAAAATATAGAGTTATAATACTGAAAATGCTTTTTCAAATTCTGCCACTCAATCTCCTAGGAGGGTATGCCTTTCTAGTTGAAAATCATTGGTCAAAATCAAAGGCACAGTAAATTATATAAAATTAAATGATTAATGATGGTAATAAGATTATATTAGATATTCTGCATAGAAAGAATTCAGTTATTATTTTTAGTTATTAATATTGATACTATTAATGAAATTAGGGAGTTATATTACAGATTAGTGCTTGTAACAAGGTTAATGACGACTTAATGAAGATTGTTGAAGTCAGAATATCCCAGAAATAACAGCTTAAAGCCTAATTTTCATCCTTTCTGACATTCAAACTACTTTTTATCCAAAACTTACGTGGTGTAGCCATTTTTGTGAAGATAGGAGTCACAGTATCTTCCAACTGTTGCTTCTGCTCAAAAATCTCATTAATGGAAGCTTCCAAATGAGTTTCCAACCACTCATTTTTTGTACGGCATGCATTGAGGATGGTATTCTAGAGATAGAAACAGAGAATTTACTTTCCACTTATTTATTGAAAAATAAAACTCTATAGTATCTCTAAACCAGCACCATCCAACAGAACTTTCTGTGATGATGGCAATGTTCTATATCTGCATTGTCCAATTTGGTCACCATTAGACATACATGGCCTTTGACCACCAGAAAAGTGGCTAGTGTGACTTAGGAACTGAATTTTTAATTTTATTTAATTTTAATTAATTCAAATTTAAATAGTCACATGTGACTAGTGGGTACTATATTGGACAGGGCAGCTCTAACATTAGTGGAATGTGAATATAATAAAACTCACAATCTAGGGTCATGAAGCCTTGGCCCAGTCTACAAGCTCTCCCTAATTCTTTATTTTCATTGAGCCATGTGATAGAGAAGTGCTTGCAAAGGTTGGAAAAGAATAGGCGGATAGCATGAGCTGCAGGCAATTCAAGAGGCAATGCTGATATTTTATTCCCTCCCAGATGGTTCACAGGAGGAGGTGGTACAAGAAATGCAAGAGCCCCACCTCACTGAAACCCTCTCAATTTGCACTGCAAAACCATTTCTTTGCACCTGAGCAGCAAACTGCTGGTGTCTGATTTGAGATGTTTATTGTTCTATGGTTTGTAATAAAAAACAAAAATGAATACATTTATTGTATGTTCTGTTCACATTATTAAATAAGCAGTAGTATATGCAGAAGTATGTAGAATGAAGTGGATTTGGAAAGATGTCTATAATATATTATTAAAAGGAAAAAAGCAAATTAAAGAATATGTATAGTATGATCCTATTTTATAAAAACAAAATCTCTCATAAAACTATATGTGTGCATACATGTGTTTATATAAGTGAAGGGAAAAGTATGGTGAAATTAACACAAAATTGTTATTAGAACACAGGGTAATAAGACTGGAAATGGCAAAGAGAAAACTATTGTTTGCTTAAGACATTTCAATTTTATTCTAATTATTACTATATGTACATAATATTTTCTAGTTCAAATAACCAAATATTTAAAAATTGAAATTAAAACTTTTGTAGTAACTAGTTCAATAAAGTACTGTTTGTGCCAGAAATATTTTGTTTTGCATATCTAAGAGCTGCAACAGCTATTCTAATAGAATTTTGCCTCTATTTTGTTTCACAAGAGATTTTGCAAAGTGTTTGACAAACCACAAGAGAAATGTATAACTCATCATGCTCTCAGACCTGTGATGTCTTACAATTTTAGCAACAGCTAATTCTTTTTCTTCAGAATTATAAGTCACAGAAAATTCATAGAACATCCTGCACAGAAATGCAGGAAATAATTTAAAACCAAAACACATTTCTGATACCTTGAATATATCTTTTGTGTGTGTATACATCCAAAGCAATAAACTAATCCACATGTAGTACTTAGTATACAGTAAATGTGGCAAGCTGGCTTATAATTACAATTAGCTATCTTTATATCTATGTATCTTTTTTTACCATTATGTAAAATTTGATACATTAAAAAATACGTGGGGGCTGGCCCGGTGGCATAGTAAGTTTGAGTGCTCCACTTCAGTGGCCCAGGGTTCACAGGTTTGGATCCCGGGCACAGACCTATGCACCGCTTATCAAGCCATGCTGTGGCAGCATCCCATGCAAAGTAGAGGAGGATGGGTACGGATGTTAGCCCAGGGCCAATCTTCCTCAGCAAAAAAGAGGAGGATTGGCAACAGATGTTAGTTCAGGGCTAATCTTCCTCAAAAAAAATATGTAATGAATGTATACATATATACTAAAATATATGATGTATATCTAAATTTCAAAGCAAAATAATGAAATGACTTTCAGTGGACCCCACTAGTCACCAGAAGAACCAGAACACTGCCAGTACTATTAACACTACTTCTGTGCCCTGCCCCTATTCCATCCCCTTCGAGCCTCCAAAAGATAATCACAATCTGTGCTTATACCTTTGCTTTTCTTTTTTAATTGTTTTACCCCATACGGAGGCATCCCTAAACAATATAGTTTGATTTTGCTTGCTTTTGAGCTTTATAAAAATTTATGTAGTCTTTGGTGATTTTTTTTTCACTCAACACTGCATTTCTAACATTCACTCATGTTGTTGGGTGTGAAACTTAGTACATCTCTATGTTACTCTTTAATACTATTTCATTTAATTTTTATCAGTTTATCTCTTATCAGCAGTTTATTAAGAAAGAAAGGACGGCAAGGAAGAAGGAAAGGAGGGAGAGAGGGAAAAGACAGCAGTAAGAACCACCACCTACCTCTAGAGCATTAGTGTAGAAATTAAAGATACAAGGCAAAAATGTCAAAAGACTTCAGAACAAGCAATAATCACAATGCAGTACCTTGTCTTCCTTAAAGAGTTTCCCTGGTCCCTTTTCTGAGTCTGTAACAGCTGCAGAGACCTTTGCAATATATTTTTTCAGATCCAGCCTTGCATCTGAAAGAATAGGACAGCAAAATGCACAATAATAAGACAAAGACCAAAAAATATGCTCTGCTTTTTGTAATGTGCTATTATGTATCCAGAGCTTTATAAAGATTGTGTGTAAGAAATTTGTTGCGGTTGTTTTCAATGAAGAAAGATAACACTCAACTAGCACAGCACTTTGGGGCATTCACTGTGTTCCTAGAACTGTGCTAAAATTTTTCAAGAACAAATAAACATAAAACATGACACCTGATCACAGAGAGACCATATTCTATAAACACATCTACTCAGGAGAAAGAAACAAAAAAACCATTTCCAATAGATGGAAATGGATCAACCCCTCTTGATCCTTCAAAATAAATTTGAAAATAGCATTCCTCTTCAAAAACAAAAAACAAAAACATGGTGTTTAAAATAATCCCATTCACTATAGCACCCATAGTGATGTCATCACAAAATCTGCAAGACCTGTTTAAATAAAATTACAACACCTTGAGAGAAATAAAAGACAAATAAATTGAAAGACTGACCATATTCCTAGATGGAACAACTGAATATTGTAAATTGTACATTAGCCCCAAATTAATTTCAGGCTGATGTATTCGTGTCCTGTGGCTGCTATAACAAACTGTCACAAATTTGGTGGCTTAAAACAATAAAAGTTTATCCTCTTAACAATTCTAGAGGCCAGAAGTCTGAAATCAGTTTTGCCGGGCTAAAGTTAAGGTGTTGGCAGGGCTGATTCCTTCTGGGGGCTCTAAGGCGAGAATCCATTTTCTTGCCTTATCAACCTCTAATGGCTGCCTGTACTCCTCAACTGGTGGCTCCTTCCTCCTTCTTCAAAGTACATCACTCCAATCTCTACTTCCATCATCACATCACCTTCCCTTCTTCCGTGTCAAATCTCTTTCTGCCTCTCACTTACAATAAGAACACTTGTGATTACATTTAGGTCCCACTTGGATAATCCAGGGCGATCTCCCCATTTCAAGATCTTTGCTCATATCTGCAAAGTCCTTTTCGCCCTATAACATTCACAGGTTCCAGTGTTTAAGACCTGGATATTTTTGGGGGCCATTATCCAGCCTACCATAATCAGTATACATAATCTCATGAAACTCCAAACAGCAATTTTTGAGAGACTTGATGAAATCACTCTAAAGCTCACTTGCGTCTCTGTAGTACCTAACAATCTCTCTCAGCCTCATCTGCCTACCTGTAAAGTAGACATAATACAAGTACCTTCCATAGTCAAATTCAGACCCACACCTAGGATAGTATTGACATATACAGATCAGTTAACCATCTTCTTGCTTCCAGCCCTTCACAGCTTCAAACCCATCATTCACATTGCAAGAAGAATTAATTACCTAAACTAGAATCCAAGGTTTAGGTTTGGGCTCCACTAGTTGGGTGACTTGGAGTAGATAGTGTTTTCAGAATTTCAACATAGGATGGAGTCTAGGGGAGGAATTAGTTGGAAGAAGGGACTAAGGGCCTTGTCATGAAACTGCATTTGTATAATCAGCACACTGATTTTACTGAGAGCACATATTTATTTTGGGTGGCTTGGTAGAGAAAGGAGCTTATTGCAAGCATCCTTTTAACACCACCTGTTTTAGTCCATTCAGGCTGCTATAGCAAAATACCACAGATTAGGTAGCTTATAAACAACAGAAATTTATTTCTCACAGTTTTGGAGGCCGGGAAGCCCAAGATCAAGGCACCAACATGGTTTCAGTCTGGTGAGAGCCCTCTTCCTTCATATCTGGCACCTTCTTACTGTGTCCTCACACAGTGGAAGGGGCTAGGGAACTCTGTGTGGACTCTTTTATAAGAACACTAATCCCATTCATGAGGGCTTCACTGTCATGTCCTAAGCGCCTCTCAAAGGCCCCACCTTCGAATACCATGACAGTAGGCATCAGGATTTCAACATATGAATTCTGGGGGGGACACAAACATTCAGACCATAGCAATACCTTAACCCCTCTAACCTCAGTATCCTTATATATAAAATGGAAGTCCTCATAGGGTTGTTGTAAGGATTAAACAAAATGTAGTATAATGCATGCAAATATCGTGGCACAGTGCCTGGCACACAGTAAAGCACTCAATAAGTTTATAATTATGTCACTCCTCTTCTCAAAATTCTACAAATAACTCCCTATTGACTACTGAATAAAATAGAGGGCTCTCCAAAATCTATACAGCCACAAACTATCTTTCCAGCTTTATTCCTTCCAACATTCATCAAGGAGTCCATCCATCATTTACTTCCTGTTCCCTCTCCCCCAGATGTCAACATGGCTCACTCCTTCAGTTCTTCAGGTCTCTGCTCAAGCATCACCTTATCAGAGAGGCCTTTGCTGATTGCCCTCTATGAAATAAGGCACATATTCACTCATTCACTTGCTGGCAACTTCATAACCCCCTTACCACACGGCTTTATTTTTCTCTATAGCACGCCAAGGATTATATATAGATTTAGATAGATATTATTTTCTGCATCTCCCTGCTAGAAGGTAAACTCCATGAACATAAAGATTCTGTTTTGTGCCTTGTTACGTATGTAGACTCAGCTCCTAGAACAGCATTTAGCACATAGGAGATACTCAATAAATATTTGTTGTATGAATGCTTACACAAAATTTCTTTGCTTATTATGTTTCCTCAACCTAAGATGCCCTCTCCACATTGCCACCTACCAAATTCTACTCACTCTTCAAAGCTTACTTATACATACTTCTGTGAAACTCCTAATTCCCCCAGGTAGAACTCACTGCTCTATCAACTGTTACATGATTATGATTTGATTTAGCTCTCATTTTAGTCTATCTTGTAATTTTTATTATCTTGTTTTTTCTTCTACCTCTAGATTGTAAGCTCCTTCAAGGCAGGGTCTATGTCTCATCTTTTTATCATATACCATGCCACCTCACCATCTCATCTTTTTCACATACCATGCCAATTTCCCCACCCCTCACCCACTACCTGATAATACCACACTGCCACCAAAGGGACACAGGTTAAAAGGGTGAGACAGTCAATATTTGCTTAACCATTTGACGGGGAGGATATTCCAGCCTGAAAAAATAGAAGCAGATACTAGGTTGTGTGAAATGGTATAACTATAGCTATTTCTTAAGTAGATGTAAAACTGCCATACTTCAGAAGGGTCAGAGGAATACAGGTAAATTCTTTCCATGAAAGTCTATTAATATGATTACAGTTTGAATTTGTTAGTAAAATATTAGTAAAGTCTTCATTTTTCAGAAAATTGAAGAAGCTCAAACCATTCTGGCAGAAAGCAAGAAAAAGAATCCCTAAGAAACCCAACGTGATTGGCTAGGTGACACCTTTTAGTCCCAATGTGGTTCTTTATGACATCACTGGATTTATCCCTGCATCACTATGCCTGATGATGTAACTATGATCATCAGTCTATATCTGGCTGACTAGGAAGATTATCTTCAATGCCTTTACTGGCACACCACGTGAACTAGTACTAGGCATTTCTGCTCTGTCTTTGACGAATTTTTTGGCTGTAGACTTTTTTTCCCAATTGAGAAAGAAAGATGTCCATTCAAGGACTATCCCTGATTTTTCCTTTGTTGTTTATCTGCTTCTTCAAGGAGAGTTTCTGCATTTGTGATGGAACCATCTGGACAAAGGTTGGATGGGAAATTCTTCCAGAAGAAATGCAGTATCTGAAATTTAAGCCTTCTCCATCTTACTGTCTACCTTACCCTCTGAACAAACTATGCTGCAATTTTGCTAATATGGATATATTTCAGGGTTGTTTACATCTCACTTATACTTTAGTGCAAGCTCTTTCTTTAATCCTTTCTGTTTTATCTGTGCGTTACATGTGGATGAAATGGAAGAAACACAAAAAAAAGGTGAGTTTAGTGATGTAAATAGTAATAGTTATAGACCATCAAAGAGTTTAAAACTTAAGATTATCAGCTTTTCTGAGGGAAAGTGCCATGTCTTATTCCTCTTTGTAACGTCTCCCCACCCCCGCCATTCACCCCCAGCACAGTGTCTTGTACATACTAGGTGCTCAACTAATGTGTATTGAATTAGAAGGTCCTTAGAATAATCTAGTCCAACCCCTCTATTTCAAGTTACAAAACACATCAAGGAAGTAGAATGAGTAGAATGTATAGGAAATGAAGTTATCTCTCTGGGCCTTTCGGTAAGTTGTTTGATCTTTCTCAGCTGCCTCATCTATAAAATGAAGGATCTGGAACAAGTAATCTGTTAGATCCCTTCCAGATCTATTTAAGAAAGCTAAGTATACAAGAGTTGGCATGTACTTTTTAAATAGACTGTAAACTAATTTCTAATGTTAAGATAACTTTCTGCGAAATGGCACTCAAACTAATTTCCCACTTTGCCAATGGCACCAAATTTTGAAGCAATCTTAAAAGTTCATTGACCTTCACAACAATTAGATAATTATAAAATGACTATGATTTTGTTGCATTATACCTTGAGACTGTTTAGTAAAGGAAAATATTTTTCTAATATGCAAATAATTTCTCCCAACAGAAAGCTTATAAGCACTTACTAAACATTTGCTGATGATGATAATGATCACTATAATCTGATATGGGGGCATATACAAAAGAGCATTTTTTCCTGCACTTATACCTTTCTTCTATAATAACTCCTTTTTTGTATAAATAAGTAATGTGTTGTGTTTGGAGTTTAAGTGTATATATCCAGAAAACAAATCTAATTTGAACTACAGTAAGAAAAAAATCTATATTGTTTGTTTTTCTCCTTTTAGCTGAAAAAACAAGCCTCCTTAGATACACTTGGTAATGATCTAGAAAGCCAGTCCTTCCATGACATTGACCAGATACTCTGCAGACTGATGGCTAAAACATCAATGATGACCACATATCTGAATCAGTCATCCCCTTATCTGCCAGCTAAGAAAGTCAAGCACCGAAAACCAAAGAGGAAGAAGACTGAAGGGAGAGTAACCAGAAGATATCCATACGCAAAGGTAGCTCAGTCCCATATGAAGATTACACAACAAACCTATTGATAGAACTTATATGAGAATAAA